CTCTCTCTCTCTCTCTCTCTCTCTCTCTCTCTCTCTCTCTCTCTCTCTCTCTCTCTCTCTCTATCTATCTATCTATCTATCTCTCTCTCTCTCTACCTCTACTTCGTCCCGACATTTTAGGAACCTGTTACTACTGCTGCCTGTTTTTTCTCTCTCTCCCCCTTTTTTACCTCGTCCCGACATCTTTGGAACCTGTTACTACTGATGCCTGCTTGTTTCCCGGCGTGATTCTTCCCGCGTTTTCAGATCCCCTGTTTCCCGCCCTCTGCTAGCAGGACACTGCAGGACATAGGAGGTTTTCGACTCAGCAGGACATGTTGCACGAGACATGAGCATTGAAGGTGGTTGCTGTGTTGTTTTTAAGAAGTAGTTTGCGGTGGCAGTAATCACGCTCTCCTCCCCTGAGGGTGACCTCAGTCCGGCGATGAGGTCGAAACCGGTCGGGAGAACGCCGGTTTTTTGCTCTCTTGTGCTTCATTACGATTTTTTTAGAGCGCTTTGAGCGTTACTTGTCACCGCGTGTTTTTCCTCTTTACTATCTCGTCCCGTTTCTCGCACCCTCTCTTGTCCGTCCTCCTTTTTCTTCTTCTTTTCTTCTTTTCTCCTTTCCTTCTTTCTTTCTTCTTTCTTGTTTCTTCTTTCTTTCTTTCTTTCTTTCTTTCTTTCTTTCTTTCTTTCTTCTCTCTTTCTTCTTCGTTCTTCTTTCTTCTTTCTTCTTTCTGCTTTCTTCTTTCTGTATGAGGAACTTGCTGAAGGCGTAGCATGTGCATGAGCTGAGATCCTGGTACTATGCACGAACGTCGATTGCAGGGATGGTCCCTAGCTGTGCTAAGTGTCATCACGACGCACTCCATATCGACATATCGACCCCTCCTCCGATTCCTCGACGAAATTCTCTCCCTTAAAGTCCTCCATCATTTTTTATTTATTTATTTATTTATTTATTTATTTATTTATTTATTTATTTTTGTGGGGTCCTCCATCATTTCATGTCATTCAGTGAATAATTACGACCCAGAGGGTCAAATTCAGGACCGCAGGTTCATCATATCATGGAATAAAATGGAATAAAATGGAATAAAATGGAATAAAATGGAATAAAATGGAATAAAATGGAATAATGGAATAAATAAAAGGGCAGACGCAACGGAATCGGATTATTTCAACGAAACTTTTTGTTGCCGTCACTGCTCATTCAATCCGTCGACAAAAGTCGTCAGTGATTTGTGACTGAAAATATGACAATCTGCTTGA